TGTTTACTGAATTGAAATGTAGCTTTGAGTTAATTGTGAAAACTGAAAGGTTTACATTTTGTGTTGTTAAGAGTCTAACTTACAGTGCCCTGAGTTCTCTCATGGCTTTGAAGGTTCCTCCATCAGTGTGTGAGAGACCACAATCGCCTAAGAATCTTACAGAACAGAAAATTCATAAAAGAAAGAAGTGTATCCGTATGACATCAGACGATTATGCAGACGTAAATATATCTCGCACAAATTATTAAAGAGCAGATAAAAAATCATTATCCTCGTCCGGCCCCCCTCGCACAATCCCATAGAAAACCACACTGAGTAAATGCTGACGAGTGCAGGGCCGGACAGGTTGACGTGAGTGGGTCCTGAAAAAATTGTCCGGCTCTACTGCCCTCGCGTCGCTTTGCTGCAAAAGCGTAAAGGAAAACACCGATGAAGAATAAAAGTCGTGTTTTTCAAGGAATTAGGGGTTTCTTGTGAAAGCTTTGATTGCATAATTAGTTTGTGCCCGTGTGGCTGCGTGTGCCCTGTCTACCGCATCCTATTAACTTTGAAATTTTCAACAATTAGTGGTCATATGTTAAACGCTTATTAAATGACTTTGAACGGGCCAGACAGGAAAATATCTGGCTTTTAGTCTCTTGGGACCGACCTCGTTGCGTCGGTCCCTTACGTCTTTACCTCCAGCCAAATATTTTCCCGTTCGGCCCTCCCACTCGGTCAATAAGTACATAATCCCTTTTTGTGCATGAATACATTTCAAAGCAATCGAGAATCGTTCCCTTCAGAATCCTCTTAAGCCTTTTTTACCGCTATCTTCCCTACTAGTCATAAAAACATTATTGTTGTGGAATTAATTGTGGTAAGTTGTGTTCATCCGTTTATTTCACTACTGAGATTTACACTGAGGTACTATCGTTCATGTCTCTGATTAGACTAACGAGGTATTTTGGCAGTCGCTCGCTTCCAAACTATGAAATGTGTCGGGCTGTAAGAAAAAAATTAAGGATGTATGAAATACAATGGAAAGTGCTTGAACGTTTTTTTATTCTCTTCTTGTCGCCGATACATCAAAAAACTCACTTATTCCATGCCCTCACTCGATCGTTTTTCTTTTTTGATGCATCGCAACTCGTCAAGTAAGATCGTTCCTGCCCACTTTCCTTGGAACAATCTCTATTTATTTACTTACAATTGCTTCATATCACTAAAACCAGACAAAGTGTCCGAAGTTAAGTTTGGTGCAATCGGATTTGACTGGAGATCTCTAAAGAGATGATAGAAAGTCACTCTTACTGAATAGATATCGATGTTTATTGCAGCTATGATCGTGACGTTCTGACTGCATACTGCTGTTCAAGCGATGCAATGGAATTGTTATAAATCATGATGCTCCGTTATGATGACGCAATTTTTATTCTCATAGCACGATCCTTTGTTATCACTGGTGAAAAACAATGCATCCATCTAAGCTTCCGTCAGTTATATTCCTTCTCTTTTTTTGCAGAAAACTACAACGATATCGAGAACGTTAACGATTACTAAAATGTGGAAGGGAGGAGGTTGCTTCATCTTGAATTCAGTTTCAATGGATATACTTACAAGTACTCGACGCTTTTTAGTTCTTTTGAGAAGACTTTGAACGCACTCAGCGAAATATTGTTGCCCGCTAGAAATCTGCGAATCAAAAGTGCTAAATAAGCTACATCAAACTGCATGTAGTTAATTAGTTTATTACGACATAACCAGAGCAATGCTAATGTCCCGAGGCTCGTCCTTCTTGTACCCTTCGCCCATGAATGCATGCTGCCGAGGCATGAGCTGTTGTTTAAAAAATATGGTATCGTCGTATTTTTTGTCACTTTTACGAATAGGAAGGATTTTAGTATTCCGTGAAATATACCACGGTTTAAGTCAACCTGCCATTAAAAAGTACAGAGGAGAGGGAGGGGCGTTATATTAATGTTTTACCAAAAATTACTTTTCGGAAGCTTTATACACATTTGAAACAATTCTACAAGGTGTAACCTGAATAGATTTGTCATATTTCTTACTTTTCTCTATTCGCTTTCCAGATTATAAAGTTCTGGCTGTTATTCTTCATAATTTCTGTCTCGCATTAAAGAAACTATACCCACATTCTTTTTAGCTTCTTCTAATTCTGGAATGCGCTCTGAGGAATATGCTTCAAAAGGTTCTGTTGAAGGTCTCTGACGAAAAAGCAATGCACTGTCACGTGTATGAGTCAAAACAGAATTATGAGTAAAACTTTATTCAGAACATGGTTCTAGCAGATTTTACTGGCTGATATCCTCTCAAGCATTGTGACTCGAGTGATATGAAGGTAGCGAAGAGGTCAGGGAGAGATGGAGTTGAACAACAAAGGTACATTTTTTGGATGCTTCATATATCCGAACGCCCTTCCTTCCCGAGGCTACAAAGATGAAATCGTTTAAGTTTACTGTGCATTTCCTTGAGGCGGCTCCTCGAGAAGAATATACCAGAATTAATTTATGACGTGTATTTTTTTTCTCATAAAAGGGTCAGGGTCCATGGACCATCCCCGCCCACAATTTATGGAGAGTGTCCCCCACTTCAAATTCTCTCGAGGGCTTCTCTCATCCTTAGGAACCTCTTAAAGGCGTGAAGTTACATAGTGATACCCGAACTGTTACCTTTTAATAATTAATTGCCATTAACTTCGAGGATTCCCTCATTATTTTGAAATTAATGGATATCAGTCTGATATGCAACATCTCCGTCCTTTTTTGACAATAAATAACTATAAACGATGGACTTCTATAGCTCCACATCCATTGGCTGATGTCACCTTACAAAACTTCAGAGAGACTTTGACCAGGCTCCATTGGGTATTTTGAAATTCTTGAAGGAGATTTATTCGGATGCTTTTTTCAGAATTTTTCAACCTGAGCTAACCCAGTTTCAATCACATTCCTCACTTTGAAGAGAACTTCAACTCAAGCTGTCAATAGATGATGGAAAAGATTCTTGTGTGTGATTTCGTCAGTTTTTCAGTTTTCAAGCATAAAGTTACGCTATTTTTTCGAAGCACTGCAACATTAAATTAACTCCGCCCTCTCAGCTATGCAACCAAATGATTGCCTCTTATGTTACTGTGTGATGTGATACAAAAACATTCAATGCCTCAGAAATAGGACAAAAAATATCAAATTAAGTTCACTGATTTTTGTTTTGTTTTGTTTTGTATTTTTTGTTTTTGTTTTTTTTTTAATTTTAAAGTTTAATACCACATTTAATAAATCAAGGCTGGTTTGGATCAAAAATCGCTTTAAATTAATGGAAATCCAGAGACTCGTACTCCCATGTATAGGTATAATTACCCTTTGTTATATGTTTTCTACTTACAAGTAGGTTAAACTCGTCAGATTCTGGAACGCTTTCTCAGGAATAAACTTCAACATGTTGCATGACAAATCTCTAGGGAGAGAGAATCAATTTGTCTCAGGGAATGAGAACTAAATTAAACAGATGAAAGGAGGCGCGAAGGTAGTCGGGATCGATCTTCCTGCCTTATTTAAATTCTGCAAGGTAAGATACATATTGCACTACACTATTGGCATTTACATATTTACAAATAAAAAATATACGTACATCTTTGTTAAGTTTGGCAGATGGAAGGTGCTCTGAGGAAAGGTTCTCAACTCGTTCTTTGAGAGATTCCTATTAGTAAAGAAATAAGAATAGCTTTCCCAAGTTTTTTATTTCAAATAATAAGTGAATGAATAATTAAAAGACTGGTACTCAAAAATAAAGGCTGGTACTTAAAATGGAAAAAGTAAGTGAATCCTTTAAATAAGAACTAGGCAATGTCATCTAAAATACAAAAGCAATTTAAAAGCCACACAGAACGATGTAGTCTTGTTTAATGGTACTCTGTACGTATCTTTGAAGTTTAACCAATTGAAAACTGCTCTTGACATTTGATCTATTGTCCAAAAAAAAGACTTATCGCTGCAACAGAAGCAAACAAACAGGATGGGAATACAGGATTGGTTAAAGCTTACTCGATACTACGCCAGAGCCTCGTTGGTTCGTTAAATAACAAAACAACATGCGGCGACGCTGCTGACAAAACTCACGATGTCTGGATCGTAAATTCGCCACTATCTCATATTTAACACGCACTTATGAAACGATTATTAAACAATGATACGCTAGCGAGCTATCTTCGTGCACTTACACTTTCTTTAGCATTGTCAGATTTCCGAAGGTATATTCTTTGATCGAACTCAGTTGATTGCTCGGCAAATCCCTAAGGAGGAAAAAAATTGGTGAGGAAGCGTTGTAGTACAAAAGGATTTATTAGAAATGAAAGCTATCGATTGTCTTTGTTTTTCAGTTTCCTAATAAGATCTAATACAAAGACATAGTTGCACGAAGGTACTCACAGTATTGCCGTATTGAGTGGAAGGTCACGTGGTACGTGTGTAATTCTGCTGCACTTAATACTGATTCGATGGCTAAACGGTTTGCATTGACAACTTCTTGGATGAAAATGTTTTGGACAACAGAAACCAGAGGCCATGAGCCAGAGCACCAAAACTAGAGGTGCCAAAGGATTGAATATCAATGATCGGATTGAAGATACCTTCCTCATCTGTTCAAACGAAACAAACATGTAGTCATCAAACAGTCTGAAAACTGAAAATTGAATTTCAAAAGAGTTAATGAACCTAGCTTCGATAAATTAACCTGTTTTGCTTTAATCAATGTTTTTATCAAGATGTAAGATATAAAGTTCCAGGTCGCTCGGCTTTAATTGTCAGTTTACCCCAGGCCTAGTTCATTCCTAACTGCGATATTCAAATGAAAGAAGGAAGGGTTATCCAAACAACAACTGCAGAAGCGGAAAGACCGGTATCGGGACTTTTACCTCTTGAAACCAGTCTAATTAGGTAATTAATACGCATTAAGGAAATGTCATTTACATTTACATTTTGCTTAGCCAGGACATAATCCGCACAACTACAGGGTTTGATTGCCATTTCATTCAGGTCATAAAATTGAATTTGAAAAATCTGAATATCAAATGCAGTACTGAAAGTTTGGCGAAGATATCGTTGCATACCTGTAATGGTCAGTCAGAAGGATATATCCAAGAGCTTCTACGGTTGGGGAGGAGCGGCTATTTTCGAATGTTTGAGCTTTCTCAGGGTTTTACCAGAGCGAATTCGTATAACCCGTTCGTTGCACGCATACGTGTAGTCCTTATGAATATACTTGTCTTTATAGTATTGTTTGACTGATTAAAAGTACCCAACTGTGCTCAATTGTTCTTCTCATTTGCCTATAACGAATGCTTCATTAGCATATGACGAAAAGGCCTTACGAGTGCGCAATGTTGGAAACTGAAAGTGACTGAAATCTTAAATTAAATTAACAAGTCCCTTTGGAAATTTAGAATATTCATTTATTTACGAGGGTTCTTAACAGCCGCTAGTTTTCATGATAAATAGGCAAAGATAGTAATTTACAGGTTTTGTCTAGTTAGAGATGGAAAAAAAAAGAAAAAAAAAGAAAAAAGGGAATACAAAAGTTTTGATCAGAGTTCATCTCACATGACCTCCTAGCCATCGTAAGAAAACAATGATCGAAAGTGATCGCTGGTATACCAACAAAAGAAACTGAAAAAAACATGTTCCTGGGGTTTTTTTCTTTGGGCTGAAAGCAAGGACAAACGCATTAGCGTTTCAGGTGTTACATTGCGTAACGAGAGTTCATTCTGCATGACCTGACCCTTGTAAGAAAATAAGAAACGAAATTGATTGAAGGTATACAAACAGAGGACACTGAAAAAAGCAGGTTCCTGGGGTTTTTCCCTTTAAGCTGAAAGCAAGAACAAGCGCTGAGACGTACAAATAGCTTATGTTACAACCGGGTTTTACATGTAGTACTACCGCTGACAAGCTGCGAAAATTTTGAGGAGGTGTACCAAGTTTTTGGAGGTTGTTCTGTTAAAGAAAATCGGCAATGAAAACGACGCCTCGAAGGAACAGAATAGGAAATCAACCATGCGAACGACCCAAAATCCCTGTTTCCCCGGCAAAACCTAGCGCATGCGTGCACGTTATTCATCTCTGTCGTTTACGAGCGTTCAATCAAGGTTTTCCCCGTCCTTTTTTTTGTTTGTTTGTTTTTAGGTTGTTTTTACTTCAGAATAAGCGGGGATCTGCTGAAATATCGAAAATTGTCCATTTCTCGTCTTCTTTTCAGCGACCGATGGAGACTGCATGGAGAAATTAAGCGTTACGCCATCGTGATAACATAAACGTTTATGACAAATGACCAGTGATGGGATGGTTTCGTGTAGATCAGCCGAATTTAACATATTTCAAATGACATACAAGTATAACAGTGTATCTTCAGAGGATTTCAGATTGCTAAAATTCCCATGGAAGAAGGTGCAGCACTTGGAATCTGGATGGTGTGCAAACGATTTGAACACGATACGTTTGTAGTTACGTCGAGTAGTCCTCCATGAAGGCTGATCAATTTTTTTAAAGATCACAACCAGAGGCGCGATTTCCCCTCGGAATAGTACTCATAAGATAACATTTTTTCCAAGCCTTTCACACTTCATTTGTCTGAGACGTTTGTTTTTGAGAACATTAGATGTAAACATCCCTAAATTATGCAATAGAAGTACCAATTTGTAATGCTGTATTTAGCGTGAGATATAGAACAAAACCTTTGCTCTTTTTGAGATGTCTTTGCATGAAAACGAAGCCCCAGGCCTCGTACAAGCAGCCGTTGTTACCATGGCAACAAGAGCGCAGCAACTTTCGAAAAAGGTATTTTTGTGCATCCCCCTGAGTGCCTAACTGCATACAAAATTTGCATGCAATTAGGGGGTTTAGATTTCCTAAGTTGTTTCATGATTCTTACCGAGGCCTGTTTTTAAAGCTTTTAGATGGCAAAAAATGCAACGATTCAGAATTTTCTTCTAAAGATGGGAAAAAGTGACAACACCCAATTTCGTCACCAATGAATAACATCAGCCATTCCACATCTACTCTAACACTTTATTGACTCATTTAGCTTTATGGAAATATTGAATCACAACTCTGCAACAAAATCTTCCTCCAGGCAGAGCCACAAAACTTGGTCTTCATTGTAGAAATGGATTGAGAAGAAAGTTTCTCCCTAGTTCGCAATGATAAAAAAATGGATTAATAGATACGTTAATAGTTATTTACGGTAGTCCCAAATTACATTAACATTCAAAGTAAATGTCTTGTTTAATCGAAGCAACGATGGCAGTGAATATTCAAAATGTCACATGATGTAGTATGACATATTTTCCTAATAGGTTATAAGCTTGAAGAAAATGTACCTGGCAAAACTTAGTTAAATCAACTAATGTTTGGTTAATTGAAGAGGAAGAAAGAAATTTCTGCGTCTCGCGGAGTTTCAATGTACACACGTCGCGTTAAACAGCTTCAGCCTGATAGAGCATGGCGATAAGCAGGTTGAACGCTTTACTTTAAGGATATCTAGGAGAGTATAAGTTTTGGGGTAATTTTGAAGGAGAACGGAATCAACAGTGTATAAAGGGAGGACTATAGAACATTGACCGCCCATAATGTTTCAAAGCCGTGTGGGCAGATCAGCTCAATTTTATGAGACACAATCA